CCCCAAAACCCCAAAACCCCTCGATTCAAAATTCTATATCAATTATATAAATACTTAAATTTAAAGTTTATAATTTATCATCAGTTAATCAATAATTTAAATTAATTGCAATGAAAAAGAGAGTAGCACTTTGTGTTGCAGAAAAGCCAACTGTAGCTAAGTCTGTAGCTGAGTTTCTATCAAGAGGTAGAGCTTAAAAGGTAACAATATATACATCCTTACTTTCTAAATCGATAGTTTATTTCTATTTCCAAATACAATCCAGTGTTTGAATTTGACTATGCTATTCAGGGTTAGCCTTATCTACTCAGAGTGACCTCTGTAAATATAAACTTATTAAGTTTATTCCTGATAGGTACTTGGACATGTAATGAACTATAAGTACCCTGATACTTGCAAGAATTGGCAAACTACTGATTATGATTTACTTTTCTAAAGTATAAAAATAAGAAATTAAAAAAGCACTTATTAGTACCTTTGGAAAAATTTGTAATGGATAGCAATAAATAAGTAGTGAAAAATGTCTAGTAAGCTTGTCGAGATGTTGATGAACTTCTACTGTGGTTAGATTGTGATCGTGAAGGTGAAGCTATTGCCTTTGATGTATTAAATTCTTTCTCATGTCATATAATTTAGGTTATTGACTTATGTAGGAAAGTTAATAGAAATTTGTAAGTAAAAAGAGCACATTTTTCAGCTTTGACAAGAGAAGATATTGAGAGAGCAGTTCAAAATCTAGTACAGCCTAATTAGCATCTAAGTGATGCAGTGAGAGTTAGATAAGAGATTGATTTAAGGATAGGGGCGAGTTTTACGAGATTATAAACTCTAAATTTTAAAGATATTCTCACTGGAGGAAACTAGCAAATGCAGCTAGTAATAAGTTATGGGCCTTGCTAATTTCCAACTCTCGGCTTTATCGTTGAAAGATTTAAATAGATAAGGGATTTTACACCTGAAAAATTCTGGAGTCTTTCCTTGAAAATATCTAAAAGATGTCCAGATAAATAGGAAGAAGTTAAATTTTCCTGGTCTAGGGATAGAATCTTTGATAAATTAACCTGCTTGATTCTTCACGAAAAATGTCTAGATCATGGGAGAGCTAAAATTATAGACATAAATAAAAATAGAAGAACTAGAGGAAGGCCAGTTCCCCTGAATACAATTGAGGCTTAAAAGTTGATTTCAAGAAAGCTAAAAATCGCCTCTGCTTAGGCAATGGAAATAATGGAGAAACTTTATTAGAGAGGTATCTTGTCATATCCACGTACCGAAACTAATACATTCAATCCAACTATCAATTTGAGAAACATAGTTAATGAACTAAGCAAAAATGATAGCTTCGGAGAATTTGCTAACAGAGTTGCAAGCGGTAGTATGTGGGGTGGTCCTAAGAATGGCAAGTTAGATGACAAAGCGCATCCTCCTATTCACCCTGTTAAAAACGCAAATAAAAGTGAATTGGGATTTGAAGAGTGGAAAGTATATGACCTAATTGCGAGACATTTCTTAGCTACTATATCTAAGGATGCCATAGGTTCCGAGACTAAAATTGATCTAACGATAGGAGATGAACTTTTTACAGCTAAAGGGCTCATTATTGAAGAGAAAAACTGGCTTGAAGTATTTACCTTTGATACATGGAGCGATACTTATTTACCATAAATGGTAAAAGGGGAATAGTTTGATATTAACAATAGAAATCTTACAATAGCAGATGGTGAGACATAGGCTCCACCACTCTTGAGTGAATCAGATCTAATCACAAAAATGGATTAAAACGGTATTGGAACTGACGCTACAATACATGAGCACATTAAAACTGTTTAAGAGAGGCACTATGCTTATAAATAGAATTAGTCATTCATTCCAACTCCAATGGGCATTAACTTAATTGAGGCTTACGAGCATTTAGGACTTGAACTGTATAAACCTTACTTAAGAGCTTAAATGGAGATAGATATGAAACTTATAGCTTAAGGAGCAAAGGCAAAAAGTCAAGTCCTGATTGACTGTATCGCTGAGATGAAGAGAATTTTTGATAAAGTTAATCAGAGCTGTTAAACAATGAAGTTGTTCTTGCTAGAAAGAATGAGAGACAGTAGTTAAGTAATAAGTAACTTGGCAAGAATTCAGCAAACTGCTTAAAGCGCAGGCAATGATAACAATAGTAACTAAAGAGATTTTAGAAATAACAACAATAACTATGGTGGGAATAATACGTACCCTAATAACGGGAACAAGAATCTTGGAGAAAAAAATAGTGGAAACAAATTTAACAAGGGCAACTCAAATGTTGAAGAAGAGAAAACCAATCGTTTTGGAGGTGGAACAACAGCAGCAGCCCAGACAGTTAATCCTAACATGAATTTACAAAACACAGACTTTGCAACTTGTCCTCAGTGCAAAAAGCATAGACTCAAAATAAAATTAGCTAATAAAAATGGACAGTTATTCATTGCATGTACTGGATTTCCAGACTGCAAAATGACTATGTCATTTCCAAAAGCACTTGAAAATATAAGCATGACTGATGAAGTTTGCAGTGAGTGCTTAAAGTTCCAAAAGCAGAAGGTTATGAAATTCAAACTCGATTTCGTTACAGAGTATGTGAATGAGATAATGCAAGAAGTGTTACCTCATGATGATAATACCTCTGGAGTCTTTTGTGTGCTACAAGGTTGTGACCCTTCATTTAAAGTATTAATAGATGCCACTTATGGTTTTCATAATAAGAGGACGTTTGATAATGCATTCTAGAAAAATCCTAATGGAGTACCAAATTACTACTATTAAAAGCCATAAAATCTACCTGCCTAAACTAATAGCAATCTAGCAGGCTCAAAGAAAAGAAAGAAGATTGATAATGATGGCTTGTACTAGCCAATACCTAGTTCAGGTGATTCTTATGAGGCAAGAGATGCCAATCCTACTAATTGGTAAAATAAAGAGAATAATAATAAAAATAACTAAGGTGGTGGTAGAGCTCCTTGTACAATATGCAATAGAAAAAAGCATGTCAAGACTAGTAATTGTCCCAATAATAAGAATAAAGCGTGAGAACATCTAATAAAGACTAGAAATAAGAAGCAAGAAGTAACTCAGAAGTAATTAATTATTAAAAGATTTAATCTTTATTCTTTATTTCATAACTTAGACTATGTTCTTATCAGGGGTTTTGGGGTTTTGGGGTTTTGGGGTTTTGGGG